CCCTTTAATATTCCAAATGTATAAAAACAAGAACCTAGTTTGGATATTTTCCACATGTCAAATATTTGTGACTGATATCTTAAGAAAAGAGAGTTTTTGTTTGAACGCGTTCCTGAACCAGGTGCACTCGTTTTGCGGCGATAAAAGCGTGACTTGATTTGCTGTCGGAAACATTATCAAGAAAGTTGGCTTGGGGCCACTGCTTCCACTTCTCTTCCCATACGGTGAGTTGCTGCCTCTCTATGTGTGGCCTGATTTTCGACACAAATGTACACATGCGGTTGTACTTGCTGTCGTGCAGGCTGTAAACTTTGTAGAATTAAAGGCAGCTGACAAGGGATGTTGCATTTTTGTTGGCTTGGGTAGTCTGCACTGACGGTAGATAACTTTTATCTTTAGTGATTGCACGATGTCTAATTCGAAGGATAATAATAGCAAGAACGACGGTAGACGGCCCTCGTCTCCTAATCTCTCGTCGTTGATGACGGCCGCGGCGATAGCTGGTGGTGCAGCGGCGGTAGTATGTGGGGCGGTGGCGGTTGCGAAGTTTGTTAGGTCGAGCAACGACTACACAGCAAACTCTTCTGATGCTCTCTCAACCCAAATGGAAGAGTTTTTCCAAGATAAACGTCAGACCATTGACACGTATGAGAGCAAAGTGCACCTTCAAGACACCCTCCACTCAACCATTTCGACTGTCTTTCCAAGTGAGTTCAAGCTGGGCTGGTTCATTGACAAGTTTGTCGAGTATTTCAGGTCTGTGTATACGGCTAGGATATATGTATCCTCATGCTATTATGAACAATCCTCGCTTTGATATGATACTGCTATTCTGCATCGTCCCGTTGATTACTAAGTTATTGTGGATTCGCGTGTCAGTCGATCTGTTTCCCACTCACCTGTGTCCATCGTCATGCTTTTAAAGTCTCAACCTGTCGTCAGTTGATTGAACAGTGACGAATTGGTTACGCGTTGGCAAATCCAACGGTTTGCCTATGGTGATAGTTAGGCGTGACTTTCTTTGTTCATGGATCTGTTCGTTGTGCACCTTCAATTGACGGTTCACCTGTTCTGCCCAGTGTTCCCTGCTCTAATACTGAAATCACAAATCCCCAAACCTATGCCCCCTGTATGCATACACCCATCCATTCATCCATCTATTCCGTACCTATGTCTTCATTTCGTTGCCCTTTGTTTACATATTCATAGTCGGAAGTTGTAATGTCTTCTCGTCCACTTGCTCTATTTCTCGTTGAATTTTCTCCATTGTGTAGACTCGAAGCTGTTTATAGTGGGCTCCTCAACCAATGGCTTTGGATGGGATGAAAGCGACGTCGATTTGTGTCTTGTGA